TCTTTTCCCTTCCTGTTTTCTCCACTCCTTGTTTCTCTGCTCTTGTGCGTATAACTTTGTTATGTCTGAGTAGTTGTTGCTTTCAGTTCCAGTTCTGCTTTCAGAAATTCCTTACACAGCTCACTTCTAGCAGACTAAGAATCAAAGGCCCTCCTACGCTTGGATTTGCTCATGACCAGATGTCCCCATGGTGACACTTAATTTACGCAAGGAGCTGGATGACTTTCATTAATCTTTCTGTTTAAGATCTGCATGGATTTTGAAGCCCATAGCTACTTGAATAACAAGGGATGCAGCCTCAGTGGATTTCACAAATCCATCACTTGTTTTTCTGATCCTTTCACATCCAGGTGGATCGTTCCCAAACATGATAAACTGTTGAGAGGAGTCCACAGGCAGGGCCTTCCAGAAGCTTGAACCACCACATGATAAAGCCACAAAAAAAAAGGAAAGAGGATTCAAGACAGCAATCAGAGGTTGGGTGAGTATGGACCTAGAACCACTCCAGCATTAAGCTATTGCTCCCCAGCACCTTGATATTCTTACTGATCAGAACCTCCCAGAATTCAACAGCATTGTTAATTACGACTTCTGAGGCAGGGCTACATGTCACAATGGTCACTCAAAGTAACCCTGACAAATGTTTCTGCCAGAGGATAAGGATATGTTCTAAACACAGTCAGGTGTCAGTTGCATTGTAGGACATAGCCTCTGCACTAGTCAGTTATTACACTTCGATTGTATGAAGCATGCTGGATCAACCTGCCTCCCATGGATCTTCCCTCTTCTAGTGTTATTCTGAAATCCTTTAAGCTACATTTGCGTACGCGGAGTTGGCAGAAGCTACTGGATAGTATTCTTCTCACTCAAAAATTGTCTTCTGATGATGGTGAAAATCCCATTAAATTCTACCATTCTGAAAAAGAAACATTTTAAATAACTACTTTTTTTTTTTTTTTTTTTTTTTTTCTCTGATTGATGAAAGCCTGTCTTCCTTTGCAGGATATACAAAATATTGTAGGTAGCAGAAAACAAGTAGTCCTTTAAAGAAGTACCTAACATGCACATCCACAGAAGAAATCAGCCACTGGCTGAGGGCTTTCTCTTATCTAATATATAAAAGAATTTGTGTGGCTGTCCCTGTTACACACAAGCCAGATTCCCCAGTGGCCTGTGTTTGGTCTTGCATGCCTATTCCCGACATAGTTTTACTTGCCATTCTTACAAAAGATAAACAGACATGCATGTGCTTATATATTTTCAAGAGTATATTTCCTCGTACTCTACAAGAGATTTCTCTTAATACCCTTTCATCATTCACAATTGTGCCCTTGGAAGTTTTAGCAATATTTGTTTCGAATAAGTTTATTTTTGTGTGATTGACTGAAATCTCAAGCTGCAATTAAGAAAATTGCAGCAAGAACCATTAAAGGGATAGCGTCATTTTCTCTCTTTTCCACTAAAATGTCAGGTTTCAATGTCACTGCAAGATAACCCAATCGCGTGCTTGTACACCACTCACCGGGCTGGAGTAAGCATAAAACTGTCTGGAGAACTAATTACAAATGACTAAAAATAATGACAGACGGCAGAAGGAAAATGAAAGGCCCTGGTCCTTATTACTTAACCGCCGAGGTGTGCGCACACAGTAATGTGGGTTATTGTGGAGCAGTCTGTTTGGTAAATACACAAACATCCATCCCCACTTGTAGATTAGCCTGGGTCCCTCCCCCATCTCCCTCCATCTCTCTGCCCTTTCTTTCTCTCCAATTATAAACCAGCACCAGGTTTTCTCATCAGCCATCTCCATGTCTCCAAATGGCTTTTCAGTGTCAGGCCTATCAGGAAATTAACTCATCATGCAGTGACAGCTGCTAATTTTTTCCCCTTACATGTCAGATGGATCGCCTGCTGAAGCTAATAATGAATCACCAATCCCTGATTAGAAGGTGCTTCCGAAACATATAACTGCCATCTGAGCTAACTTTTTTCTTCATATAAAATGATATCACCCTAGAGGAGTAGAAAACGAATTGTATTCTTCAACAAGATGGAACAGGGGTAGGCTGTTTAAATGGGCCATGTGCTATCTTAAATTATGGGCTAATATTGCACAGTAAAATAAGTGAAAACTCACAGCTCTTTTTTATTTTGCCAAATGAATGACCTTTTTTTCCTGTTAGTTAATCCTCTCACCAGGACCAACTTTGTTTCAAATTTCAGGAGTGGCTTTTGTCTTCATCCCTCTCTTTTATTCTCTACAGCTTTTGTGCTCCAGAAGTCAGCTGAGCAGGGAAGGCTGGAGAAGCTCAGAAGCTGCTTACAGAGGCACCGCCTGCCCCAGTGCAAGCTCTTGGCACTGCTCTGTCAGGAGCTTGAACCTGATGATCTTTCAGAGGGGCCTAACTTGCATTTCAGGCTCAGCTTTGGTTCAGGGTTGGCCTGAGGCACAACTTCAGCAGGAAGGGGCGTTTGCAGCGATGACACAGGCTGAGCCCGCTGTCCATGAAGATCACAAACATAACATCCCTGGTGTAACAGCTGCACTCATAAGCGACAGCAGCACTCACGGCACTGTGAGCAGCTCCCATGTGCACACCTTATCAGCTGTGGGCTCTGGCTCCTCTCCTGCCATAGTGTGGTGCAGCCGGTAGGCAGGCAGAGTGATATGGAGCTGTGGGCACTCTGTCTTTTGTTGGTACTGTTTTCATTTGTTACAGGAAATATTTTGCTAAATATCACTTCCTGCTGTCTCTTATCTCTCATTTCTCCCGAAAGACAGAGCCTGAATTCAAAGGCCAGGAGAGACTGCCTCAGGAGGTGCGTATCTGATTCCTAAGGAACAGGGTGAAACCGCTTGCCAGAAACAGGTCTTTTTTCTGTTTTTCTTTTTTCCCCATTTTTTTTTCTTCATTTTTTTTTGCTGTGGAGATTATTCTTTTCCATTCCTTCCTTGCATACTACTTTAGCATTTCCCAAATAAATACATTTTCACCCATTTGGCATTGTTCACAGTATGATCCAAGCTTAATCAGAACGGACGGCAATGAGGAAAACAAAGCCAATGGCTCTTAGCAGCCAGAATGTCAGAAGGCAACCAACTGGCACAGGAATGCTTCACTCCCAACAATTGCTTCCATTACGGTGTGGTGCTTGATTTTTCTGGGAGACAAAGTCACAGAATCACAGATTTGGGTCAGAAGGGACTGCAAAGCCCACCCACCCCACTCCATGCCATGGGCAGGGCTGCCTCCTGCCAGCTCAGCTGTCCAGGGCCCCATCCAACCTGGCCTTGAGCACTTCCAGGGATGGGGCACCACAGCTTTTCTAGGCAGCTGTGCCAGTGCCTCAGCGCTCTGTGGGAAAAGAAACCAACTGAAGTTTTTCGAATTCAACAACACAACACACTTCTAGGAACTGAAAGTCTGCTTGGGAATGGCTGTACCCATTCCTCAACCCACCATGCAAAGACTTCTACAAGGAGCTCTGCAGCCCACGACAATCTCCCCATCATGCCGTATACTTCATCAGTCCAGTGCGCACCTATCCTGGGGCTTGGGTCTTCCTTAGCTGCTTCATCCTGCTCTGCAGATGGCAGGTCTGTAGGGTGACCCAACTCATCTCTTTCTAGCCTGCTGTTCCAGAAGAACCGGCATGGGAGGGAGGTGCACGCTGGAGGGGAATTTCCAAAGCCCAGAATAGATCTGCTGCAACTTGGACTTCTGTTGTGCCACAGATAGCATTTTAGCATGGGGTTGAGACAGTGCATGGAGTCCTTAAGCAGCCTGTCTGCACAGGAATGAATGTCATCCTTGATTTCTAATGTTACATTTGTAGGGCACTAACAAGTTAACTTCAAAGTGCACATTAGAAGAAGGAGGGAAAAAAAAAAAAAAGCACTAGAAAGAAATTAGCTCTCCTGATCAGGCTGCACTCAGAGAGAAGTATCGTTAACCTGAGCTTCCAGGTAATTACAACACACAGAAGGTTAGTGAATCCCTTCCAATACTCCCAAGCACAGGAACACCTACCACAGTTTTTTTTTTTATGCAAAGGTCTGCTCTTTTCATTGTGCATACAATGTGATTGCTGGTTTGACACTGCAGGCTACACTGGTTTTATGAAGGATTAAATGCCACCTGAGACATATTTATCCTAAATAAATCACAAATGGTAAACTGCAGCATGTCAGTGTCAACACCCTGTACTGCAGCAGAAAGGTTAGCCATACAGGACTAAGCACAGCGAAGAATTAGCATCCAAACTGCAAGACCACAGGGCTACAGTTAACAGGAGGAATGATCAAGAAGAAATATTTCCACTGAAAAACATTCCGTTTTTTGAACATCTGTGAGAGTCTTGCAGAGGGCCATCATTTTGTAAAGGTCACCTTTTTCCTGATAACAAACGGGAGTTGATCCTGTCACTGTTTGCTGAAGACAGTGTTTAAGAGGAAGTGAGCAGCCTGTCACTTTTAAGAAAGATGAGCAAGTCAAACTCGCCTAATTATGAATCTCCACGTCTAACTTGAAATTTACTTTTTGGGGGTCTGACAAAGACACAACCTCAATTCCTAGAAAATAATACAATTAAAAAAAAAAGAAAAAAATCAGAGATGAAAAGACGGCAGGATCTTACAGCTCCAGAATGAAGCACCTTTTCTAAGCAGCTTGATCAGAAAACAGGCTTTCAAACTGTTCCTTCAAGAAGGAACTATTCTTTTGCCTCGCCCCAACTTTCTTACAGTTGATAATTTTAAGATATCAAACACAGGAAACCTGGCTATCTCCAGAGTCAGCACGGTGTGTATCCTAACTACTCACATGATGCTATATAAGCATGCATGAGGCACACACAAATATTAGGCTCTGTTATCTTTATCTATCTAGTTCGCTTGAGAAAGGAAAAGAGGAAATGCGCAGACCTAACAGACAGCGTTTTTTTGCTCCTGCTGAATGAATGCCACTTCCATTATTGATTAATATTAAAAATCATGATGCTCTATTTGAATGCTAACATTTTATTTGAAAGACAAAATAACAAAACAAAACAAAAGCAAAAACAAAACAAAGCAAAAGCAAAAAACTTGCCAGTTTATATTTTACAATTTTGTTAGTTTTTTTTTTTTAAAGAAACAAAATCAGTTGTATCATGAAACAAATCTTCTCAACATGAACTTGCATTGAACAATTGCAGTATATCCACCACAGAATAATTGACATTCCAGACTATGCAAGAAATACAAGGTCACCTTTTTTTTTTTTCCTACTTGTTAATGTCAATGTCAGAATTTCCTTTAAAAACCCCCAGAACGTTTCAAAAGTAGCTCACAAAATGAACTGTGAAATGGTATTTATATGAAGCACAATTTATAAGAGCAGCAAAACATTGACAGTGAGAATATTTTTTCAAAAACTGCACATTTTCTATGTAGGACTCACAGCTAAATTTAAGTGGAAGATAGAGGCATCAAATGCTTGTTTTCTGAATGTGTATAATCTACAATTTTCTGAAACATTGTATTTTGAACTCTTAGGAAAAGTTCTATGTGATACCAGGAATCAGTAAGCTACTATTAACAATTTCATTCTAGATGCAGAAAATACTTATTTTGATGACATCCTTTTCACCAGGGATATTTGAAAGTAGGATTCTAGAAAGAGAATGTCACCTGCTCTCCGAAATGAAGAAGGGCACCAATTTCAGTATGTAAGCTTACTTGATCCCCTTGTAATGTTGTTGTAATGATGCACTTTTTGGTATTTTTTGCTTATTTACCTTTATAAAATGTACACACGTGTGAAAATATTTTACTCCTACAATTATGTTAGGCAAAAAAGACAGAAGGCAGGGACTTACCCTGAGATAAAAAAAAAACCATCTGAAAAACAAACCAAAGCAGTGAACAGAACAATCCCTAGTTGTGAGGGGCGGGGGTGCATTTCTATCCTCTTCTGTGTACTAATACGTTCGCTTTAAAATAATCCCGTATCATAATTCTCAGAGCTACTGTGACAAGACTATACTTTTCATTGAACTCTTCCTAGTCGCTGACCTTCACCTCCCACAGGGTGCATATTTGTTACCTGCCTAGGAAGATACCGCGTGCAGAAGGTTTTACAGAAGAAGTTCCAGGATCTGGTTGTTTCCAGCTTTGTTCTGCATCAAGCCCAGGAGATAAAGCTCTTCATGCTTCTTGTACTTCGTTATCATCTCTCTGGCCCTCAATGACTCGTGAGCCACCCTCTGTATAAATGACCATGCTTGTTAACTGTTCTCCTGCTCTATCAGGGGATTCAGGTTTCACGGCGGTACCAGCCTGTAAAATCTCCTGAGACCCGGCCGTCTCTATCACAGCGTGCGAGTACACACCGGGCTCACTCTGCACGTCTGGTTGCAATTCTGTGACAATGTAGTGGGTCGCACCTTCTGAGAAGTTGCCATCAGAACCTTGAACCATGGCTTGAGCTATTTCTTCCGTCACAATAATCTGCGATATCTCCCCATCTGAATCAACTAAATCCATGTGTTCGCTTTGGACGCTGAGTGCATGGCTACCAGCTTCCTGCATAATTATCTGAGAGCCTTCTCCAGCTACCATATGCACAGTTCCCTCCTCATTTACAATGACCTGAGTGACACCTTCTTTTATCAGCTGATCGGCTGCAGCTGTATCACATACAGCAAAATGTAATACTCCTTGGACCATTTTCTTGAAGGCAGCCTGAGCTCTCTCCTGAGATGCAATTATAGCCGATGGGTGCATGACCTGCGTCACTACTTCCATAGGTTTGGTATCTTCCTGAGTCTCTTGAACTTCATGGAACATTTGTATTTCTTGTCTCCCCGCATCACTGGGAACACTGGGCACCTCTGGGTTTGGCATTTGCAAGAAATCTTTGTGACCAGACCTGCTTCTGTCAGGGAGTCCAGATTTGTTTTCCACTTCACCCAGCTCTGTTACAGCACAAAGCAAGGCATCTAATGCTGAAGAGGAGTCTGGAGGATGTACTGTAGCTTCAGAAGACTCCAAAACTTCCTGTTGCATTATCTGTTGCAGTACAGCACCACTGGAGTCAGGAACTGCATCTATAGGAACGGCCTCCTCCATATCAGTTCCTGTTACTGAGCCTTCAACCACTACCACCTGTGTTGCACCATCGGCCAGCTGCTCAGTAAGTATCTGGCCTGGAACCATACCACTCACATCTGAGCTGTTCTGATCTGTAGCTATGACCTGCCCATCTTCTGTAATGTGGACTACCCTGGCCATCTGACCAGCCATTGCCAGAGTCTGAAGGGTCGCCGCTGCTGTTTCTTCTGCAGAGACATCAAACGCAAAATCACCATCGTATCCTTGAATAATAATAACTTGCTGAACTTGTTCAGGCGATGGTTGCTGTCTCCTGCTGCCTCGAAAGACCTTCTCTTTAACTGGAGAAACCTCTCCCAGTGCTGCTGCAGTAAAAGGACTGGCAGTTTCCACAAAGGTTGCTCCTTGCCCCTTCAGTCGGCATTCATAAGACTTGGATACAATGCCTACAAGAAAAAAATATTCTGTTAAGGTGGTATCATGGCAAATATCAGTTCATTACTTCAGCAATTTGTAGCCTAAATGAAAAAAAATTCCTTGACAATTGTTAGTTTTCACTGGCAGAAAACACAGATAAAATGAGCAAGCGAACAAAACCAATTTGCATGTTTTCCAAATAACATATTTACAGGTTGAAGTAATTGCTGAGTTTAACAATGCTGCAGCTTATTAACAATTTAAATGTGTTTTTTAAACTATGCTGTATTATAAAAAAAAAAAAAAAAAGCCTAGATAAATACAGTATACAGTTAAAAGCCATTAACACATCTTTTATAGAAGATCCTATTGGTGATACTTCAGTACTTCGGTAATGAATTTTAGGATCATACATTTTCTTAAACATATCCATGTGTGAAAAACTGTGGCTGATCTTCTTAAAACCCTGCTTTTGTTGGCGAGATAATTGCCATGCTGTCAGTTTGATGCTGTTGTCTTCCCCTTCATTTCCCACCTAGCATCTTAAGATAGCAATAGCAAATGGCAGGATGGAGTATGTGCCTAGGTTTGTGGTTAATCAGTGCTGTTCCTTTGTAATAGTGTAATGAATGTATAGAATTTGTTTTTCTTTAACGCACAGTCAAGGCCGTGGGGGTTAGACTTGCTATCAGGAAGAATTTTTTCACAGTGAGGGTGGCTGTGCATTGGAACAGGCTGCCCAGGAAAGTGGTGGAGTCCCCATCCCTGGAGATATTCAAGAGATATGTGGACATGGCACCAAGGGACACAGTTTAGTGATGGGACTCAGTAGATCAGGTTGATGTTTGGACTTGATCTTGAAGCTCTTTTTTAACCCAGATGAATCTATGATTCTATGGTTTTTTTTCAACACACTTTGCTGACTCAGCTCACCAACCTAATTACCCAGAGAAAACAGTCAGTTGTTTTCTCCCTCTAAGCAGGATGTCCTGTACAATTACTGGCCAGAGAAAGCTCAGTCGCACTTCTTAATTACGTCTACATGAAATCAATTAATAGACAAAAATATTGGTATTCTATATTGCAACGGCTTACTTTGCTACTCAGTCACATTTTTTTGTCATTGTAGGTTTCCTCCTCAGTTCTCAACACTTATTTGGCAAAGCAAAAGATGCCTATGGCTGCAGGAAGTCTTGCACACCATCCCCAGAGCATGGCCTCAGATTGCTCATTTACTTGGATGTAATTTCACACTTGTGAGATGTGCTACACTGAGACTGAGTACTTGGCATCTTTGTGGCGTCTGTTGATACGCTTAGGTGACCGTCAAGCTAACATGCCAAAATAACATTGGTGCCTAAAAAACTCGGCCCTTGCTTGCATCTATCTATCTATCTATCTCTGCCTAATCTATCAATTAATCCACCTATCTATCTGTCTATTCATCTTTTTTTCTATTGCAAAGCTTCTGGTAGAGAACTACACTGTGAAGCAAAAGAGGCGATTTTGTTATGCTGAAAGGCTGCAAATCACTTTCAGAAGTCTCAGCTGACATTATACAACTTTCTCCATCTTAGTTTGCAAGGCTGGGTTATCTTTGGAAAAGAAAATTAACAATTTAAACCATTAGAGTGTTTCCAAGTGATGCTGCATGATGTATCTGGCACATGCAATTGAAGTACATTTTGTCAGGCATAAGCTGTAAGGAGGCTTACTGCGGTAGGGCTGGTTCTTATCCCCACTTTTCCTCTGCTCTCTGTAGGCACTGACATTCACGAGACCCCCCAAAGAGCAGAAAAATAGGAAGGGGAAATCAACATAAAATGACAATTATCTTAGCTCCTCCACATTTTATAATACAGTAGAAGTAATTAATTCTCTCAGGAATCTTGCTTTGTTGACGTGATAAAAGAGGAGCCTGGCAGTGATGTGGCACAAAATCAAAATAACTCTACAAATCACGCGTTTTCTGCAGGATTTCAAAATCAAAATAACACGGCGATCATAATTTTCACGTGCACTCAGCAAAATCATGACATCTTTCCCTTAAGATAATGATAATTTTTGCACAGGACACAGCACCACTGCATCGAAGAGAAGCTCTGCTCTGGGGAAGGGAAAGAAAAAGGAAATCCATCCTGTTTTCGTCTCCTGAAATAATTGCCGTACCCGTGAATCTGTGCAACTCCAGCCTTTACTGTGCAATTGAACGGGAAGTCTCTTGGGTGAAGAGCTACCCAGTGAATCCCTTGCAGCGCTGATAATTATGCCATTCTGACTGCTTACTTAATCTATTTGAATCCAGAGGTGAGTTAAGCCACTTCCTGACCATTAAAGTAAACTGCATGGGTAAATACTGCTGTCACTAAGGGGTGTGATGAAGCTTAACTACACCAACATCTTAACCTCGGCTCGGTGCAACCCTAGCTATTCCATCACAGTTCATAAATGCGATTGCAGGTCCATCTTTTGATTCAGCAATTTAATAACTTCGAGTGCTGTCAGTACTGCTTTGAAAAATGGCTCCTATAAAATGTAACAGCCTCAATCAGACTGTAAAAGATTCACCCACTGAAGATTCTTCCATTTCAACTATAATGAATTAATGTTGAGCAATGTAGAAGTTCAAGTGTCATTTAAACTAATGTGAATCTACTGTAACTTTAAATTTTAACTGGACTATGACCAAGAATTTACTGGGAACATCATCTTCAATTTTAGTGATTTTTCATGGTAAATACGAACTGCAGATTTTACTGGCTTTCTTTTGTTTTACAAGTGAAAAGCCAAGCAGGGAAGATATTTAGAAAACAACATATTTTGAGGCTTAGCTGCTATTTCAACTTTGGAACAGTGCATTTTTTTTATGGAGCACTGCTATCCAGCCCATTTGTAGGAGTTTTTATGCATTTAAGGAGTATGTCACATTATTGGACTGTATGTAGTAACAAATCACGTTGTCCTAGTAAATTCAGTCTGCCTCTAACCCCCTCTTAGAAGCTGGGAAAGAGAAGGGCTAAGTGTTGGCTGACATGGCAAACATAAGCTGCAATGCAAGCCCACATTAATATTAGGAAAACTGGACTTGTTGCTGATTGCATGTCACTGCAAATTAAGAAGATACACAAACAGGCATTAAAATGACAAAATATAATGATATGAGAGCTCATATTCGGACAATTTGTAAAGAGGTGTTTCATATCTAGGGGTGCAATGATCACAGAATTGGTTTCTTTCCAAGAAGTCTGTCATTTCAGCGGGGCCATTATTTATCAGTTGGAGTCTTGAGCAACTGTTAGTTTTTTATTTGAAAATGTCAGGATTTTTTAGACATTAAATCCATATTCACAGGTTATTTTAATTCTCAGAGACCACAAAGTCCCAAAATAGGGCTAAAAGAAACGCTTTGATGTTTAATGTGCTTTTGGGAAACTACAAATAGGGTTTAGTACCTTCTCCCCTCTCTTTTCCTCAGCACCTGACTTCCTTTTGTGTGCCTGTTTTATTCTTTTGTTACTGTCATCATTTGTTCCCTACAGAATAAATACCTTATTCTTTTGTTAAGCTTACATTTAATTAAAATGTACAGGATTTGTGCAGTAAACTCGAATGAAACAAATAAAACAAGGGCCCCCTCTCTTGAAGGCATACGTTGTGAATGAAAAATGTCATTACAGACTAAAAAATTTTGCAGTAAACAGGGCCTACAGAGAGAAGTTTCCCCCGTAATGACATCCATAAAATACACAAATGGCACTTTTAGTACCATCCTGAATATGGCATTTTCTGTGCTCTACACACAATCTAAATGGTTTGATCATAGAGCATAATACTCCATTGGGTTTATAGAACAATCAATGTTCCATAAAATGATGTATTTATCCAATAGTAGGCTCAGCAGTTACTGGTGTATGACATTGTAGGACACTGGCTTTGTACTGTTCAGCAGCACACATGCTGGCTGTAAAACTTATCTAACACTACTTCAACAACTTCATCTCATCTGTGTCAAGTAATTTGTTGAAGCCTCAGCTTGGTTTAAAAAAACTTGTAATAAAAATTCATAGGATTTTCAGGAGAATGAAAGCTGATGACAATAGCGAGGTCACATTGCGGCGCCACGCGAGGGGTCGGGGGTCAGCTGCAGTTCTAAAACAGAAAGTAGATTTCATGCATCGTGTAGCAGATAAAGACGGCATTAAGGAGGCTTGTCTCAGAAAGAAATGCCTAATGCCTTAGGAAAGTCTCTGCTAATATTGTATGTAAAGCACCGCTTTGCTCTCCGCCAGCCGCCTCCTCAGAATTTTAAACCTTGCCCCAAAGTTGTGGCAGCAGCCGCGCATGGTGAGGCCGGGCACAGGATCTCCTTCCCGAGGAGCACCTTCAGGACAAAGCAGTAAGTCAGAAATGAAATAATCTATTACGACAAAGGAAATGATCTGCATTTACACAGCAAGCTTGAAACAGCTCTCGTGCCGTTCCTGAGAAAGTTCCAGGTGACCTGATTTATGGCATCTTTTTCTGCAATGCTTAATTTTTCTTACTTTGGTGGTTAGGAGCCTTATTTATTGACACCCACAAAAATTTGGTATCTAGTACAACGTGATGGATATTAAATAATGCGGATGCAATGTAACATCTTTTTGTTCAGCTAAATACAACCCTCCTGCAATTACAACATACAGAAAATTCAGCTTATATTGGCAACCATTTGAGTGAGCAACTGATTTTTTTATTTTAAAGTTACTGCCTCCGTGAAAATAAAATATTTTGAATGGTATGTTAAGCTCACCGTTCTAGTTCATAAAGGAGTAATTTAGGCCTCGATCCTGCTGAAAATCTGATCAGCTCCAAATTTCTGCACTCTCTTCTTTTCTGTTTTTAACTACCTCTAATTGATTAAGTGCAGTGTAAGAATTGTAGCATGCAGACTTCGGGATTTTCCTGATTTTTGGAAGCCATAACAATAAACCATGTTTTTTCAAATCTCTGCTCCTTACACATACTCAAATTCTTTTTTCTTTTCTAA